CATTAGATCCCCTAGCTATTTGGTTTCCTTATTGCATTATAATATCTAGATTAGTTAGGAAACTTAATATTTTATTACTTTATTAATTCCCTAGGTAGATTAGGACTAGATATAATTTGTGCCTATATAAAGGCCTCTTCCCTCATGTTATTTTCACCATCCAAGAATTAATAAGAACTCAAGAACTTTTGTTCATCCTCTTTGCTTTAGATTTTCACCAAAATTCTATAGCAATTATATCGTTTAGAGGGGTGCGGTTTGTGAACCTCTAGGCAACTATCGGCGATTCAAGGCACTGGTTTGTGGCTTATCGGCAGTCGAAACACACGATCCTCATCACGTGCTGCAGGCGCTGGACTGCCGGTCGCTGCGCGCGCGGGGTGCGCGGCAGCTGCCACGGCCGACACCTCACCGGCCGTTTGCCTACTTTACTAGTGACATGCAACTCATATCAACTTATTATGATGAAAAAAACATAAAAATGCAAAGAAACACTAGGAGACCTCGAGTCAAAATGCATGTTGCCCGGTATGGCCGATAAGGCACGTTCGGGCACTAAGGTCACCGAACCAACTTCTATAACTTGCACAAAAGACTATGGCCAAGTTATAAGCAACATAAAATATTGTTAATGAGGCTAAAATGATGGCTAATACTTGCATGCATATCAAAATGGCTCGGAGGTGAAAAATGAGCAAAAAATCGACTTCTAAATGACCGATCACCCTAACTTATTTTAAGATCCTTTTTAACCCCATGTTACTCATGATTTATAAGGATTTTTAAGCTCAAGAACTTGGCCTAAACATGCATGCAACGGAAAATACGATTCTAAGGCTTTATGCTTCAAAAATCCGAATCTCTCATTCTACCCGAGCAAAACTTAATTTCTCTACATTATAAATCTTAAAATATCATGTTATAGCTAGGATAAAAAGATAGCACGAGCTAACCTTCACTGAAAGACGAAAACGGCGCTAGGTCCCTTGCTCGGCTCTTCTCGAGTCACTAAAGGTCGTGGCTTGACTTGGTGGCCTTTGGGTGGGGATAATGGCTTCTCTAAGCTCCTTATACTCCCAGAGATGATATGAACATGGATTGGTGCAGCAAAACTTGGTTAGAACAAGAGATAGCTCGGTGTCCCTTTTCTTCCTCGACTAGGCGTGCATGAAGGAGCTCTCGGCCTTTCTCTCTATTCTCTCTATTTTGCTGAGTATTCTAAGTGATAAAAGAAATTCTTCAGCTGAATTGGTGAGGCTTAATAGGGAGAGCACATGGGCGGACTAAACAAGGCAAAAGAAGGGGACAAAAGCTCTTCCACATGCACATGGAGGCTAGGGGAGGTTTTGGCTGGTTATGGCTTGGTCTTGCACGGTTTTTGGAGGCTTTTACAGCATCTTTGCAGGGGAATCTTGATTTGATACAGTAGCACTAAGGACAAGGGGACAAGACTTACACATGTGTATTAAAATAATGCATGCACATGCACCCACTTTGGCTAAGGACAAATTGGCTTTGACTTGGATTACCCTAGGGTCAATTGGGATGAAAAGACTCCTAAATAAGTTGGTTGCACCCTCACAAATTTGGGCTCGGTGAAAGTGGGCTGGATTTTCTCG